CCCCTTTAAAATAATTTATCTTAATAGTTGCGGGTTGGACTGAAGGCCCCTGAGGGAAGGGTCCATGTGTGAAGTATGGGGTGGGCAAGCCAGAGGGAAGGGAAGGTGACTGCTGGAGATGACTTTGGCAAACCCAGCAAGACTGACTTGGGGAATGGGGAAGGAAGGTGGTGGTTCTATATCTAGTTCTCTCACCATGACCATAACCCCAGCATGGAAGAGAGGAAGGAAGAAACTGTTGAATGTAGGGGGAGGGAGAAGGGGCTGCAAGGGGGATCTGCAGTCTTGGAACTCCAGGAATCTGACCACCAGAACCAACCAGTGTCAACTCTTTGTTTCCTGGGGCTGGGCTCTATTGGGGGAGCTCAGGCCATGCCCCTCCCCCAAAGGCCTTTTCTTTTTGGAGGGGATGGGGAGAGGGGCGGGGCCCTGCTTTGTGTGTGGTTGGGGGTGGAGTGGGGGTGGTACAAGAATTTCAGGCTCTTTTCAGATGCTGGCCCTGGGAGGCTGGCTCTGTGGGGCTGCACGCTGATTACCTATCTGATAAGAGAGGAATTCAAACTATGTGTTTTAGAAAGGGGTGGGGGAGGGGGCCCCCCAGCCACCCCTGGAGACCACCAGTTTAAACCTTGGCCAGCCGGTTATGTTGTGGTGCCTGCAGGGTTGTTGTTGTTTTTTTTTTTCTTTTTTAACTCTTTAAAAATCTTAAATAGACATCAGATCCTCCAATGGTGGAGTGACCTGAGAGGACTGGTCAATTTCATGTTGCACGTGAAATTGCAATATTTACATTATCCCATTTATATGATCCTCTTGTTCTCAAAATATGAAGTGCCCATGGAGGGATGTATTCCTCTCCAGTAAACTGGAGCTCAGAGAGGGGATATTTTTCTGAGTTCTACAGCTGGTGAGTGATAAAACTAGAGTCTCTTGGCACTTGGTTCTCACTGTTACCCCGCCCTGATCCAGTCTGAAGAGGTTGATAATTGCCACTCGCTGAGGATTTATGTGTGGCAGGCGAAGTGTTAACTACTTTTCATGCATTAAACCTCACTGCACCACCATAAAATTAGTATTTACTCCATTTTATAGATGATTAAAGAAGAGAGGGAACAGGCCCTCAAACTCAACCCTTGTTCTTAACCACTTACCTGCTGAATTGCAGCTAGAATTGGGAGTGTCCCAGCCTAAGAGCCAACATGGCAAAGGGATGAAGCTAGAATTGCCTGGGTCAACAAGGCTCTTGGTCTGCTCCTCCACTACCTCCCAGCTCACTGACTTCTCCCGCTTCTTGTTCCAGCTCAGTAAGAGACAAGTCAAATCTTACTTTAAAGTCAGGGTGGTTACTGTGCAACTGTGAGGAGGAAAGTTCCTTTCACCTTGGTAGTGTGGGTGTCTTTTTTTTAAGAGATAGAAGAATCTCACTATGTTGCCCAGGCTGGATTCAAATTCCTGGACTCAAGTGATCCTCCCACCTTAGCCTCCCAAGTAGCTGGAATTACAGGCATGACCCAGCCTACAGTGTTTTTATTTCTTGCTTTAATGATCTGCCCCTTCCCTCACAATAAGTTGGAGCACACTGGGGGAGGGGCGTGGGGCGATCACATCCCTGCATGTTCCTGTGGACATAAAAACAAGTGAAAAGATCCTATTTCTATGATAGGACAGCTACAAATACTAATAATACATGAAGTATTCACTGAATACGTGATCTTTCCATGTCCACATAATCTTCATTAGACCGTATTAGGTTGATAGGTACTGTTTTCCCATTCTCTGAAGGATCTGAGCCCCAGAGGTGAGTGGCCGACCAAAACCACACAGCCAGTAATTGGTAGAACCAGCATTTCATGAACCAGGATATGTCTGGCTCAAGAGCCTGTGTGCTTAACCAGTTACCTAAAATGGAAGTTTCATCTTTTGTAATACCATTTTAATTAAGATGAAAATTAAAATGATTGAGGAATTTGCAGATCCCATCTTGCTAAAGAGAATGTTTGATCTAATTCCCAGTTTGAAATTTTCATCCCCCCTTCAACCCCCAGGATGAAATACTAATGCTACTTTTTCATGTTCTCTTGGGCCAGGACTAGGTAGGTGCACAGTGATACCTTTTACTTCTCTGAACACCATTTTCTATGTTGACTACTCCTTGCTGACATATTAGATACACTCCTTGGTGTTTTACTATAATATGGTAGATGAAGCTATGATGGAGTCTATTCTGGGAAGGGTCTGAGAGATGCTGTCACCTCCACTGATGTGTTGGTGGTGCAGTAAGTGACATTGTAGAATGATTTTGGAGCTTTAAATTGGGATTATGGATTCTTCCGACCCTGGTTTTTCTACTCAAGGAGCTTTATGAATAACTCCTTTCTTTGAAGGCTGCCAGGCTCTTTGTTAACTGCTTTATAAGTGTTGATGTTTTTGAACTTTGATACAAACATGCAGTGTTTTAATAGGATTATCTATACATATTGTTTTAAGTCTTATTTTTTTTCTCTTGACAATATTGTCTGGTCATCTTTCTAAGTTGAATGATTTAAAATCTACCTCCTTGTTCACTCATTCATCCAAAATATGCTAGGCATTATTTTCATTACCAAAATGTGGCAGTGAACAAACCAGAGACTTTACCTTGTTTTTAATGGCTGCATGATATTCATTGTTATGGATATATCATATTTAATTCAACCATTCCCCTCCAAATAAACTAGTAAATTATTTCTAGTTTTTTTAAACCAACAATGAGATAGTGAATATATGCGTCATGCTGTCTTCCTACAAATTACCTGCTTATATTCTGTTATATAATTCTTCTTAATGATTTATAGTAGCTTTTTATAGTTTTATCAGCGTGATTATTTGTCTTTTGACTTTTTATAGTTTTCTCGACATTTAGATATTTGATTCCTCTCAAGTGTATTTTGCATATGTATAACATAAAGTGCAGGAATCTGACTTCATTTCCAAGTGGGTAATTTTCTCAGCAGCATTTATTGAAGTGTTTTCTTCACCTATTAATTTCTCCATATATTCTTGGATCTCTTAGTGACTTTGCATTTTATTTCTCTGATCTATTTGCTTGGCTTATACTGTCTTTAATCCTTCAACTTTCATTAGCATTATTTTGATATAATTTCAAATTTAGTCAAAGCTTGTATGAATGGTATAAAAACCTCTCATGTAACCTTTACACGGATTCATCAGTTCTTAACATTGTGTCCCATTTGCTTTATCATTCTCTTTATCTCTGTGCAGATAGTTTCATTCTTTTTTCTTCTTAACCATAAGTTGTAAGTATTAAACACCTTTTTTTTTTTTTTGAGACCGAGTCTGTTGCCCGGGCTAGAGTGCCGTGGTGTTAGCCTAGCTCACAGCAACCTCAAACTCCTGGGCTCAAGCGATCCTCCTGCCTCAGCCTCCCAAGTAGCTGGGACTGCAGGCATGTGCCACCATGCCCAGCTAATTTTTTCCGTATATTTTTAGTTGTCCAATTAATTTCTTTCTAATTTTAGTAGAGACGGGGTCTCACTCTTGCTCAGGCTGGTTTCGAACTCCTGAGCTCAAACAATCCGCCCGCCTTGGCCTCCCAGAGAGCTAGGATTACAGGCGTCAGCCACCGCACCCGGCCAGTATTAAACACCTTTATCCATAAATATTTCAGTATGTATTTCCTAAGAATGAGAACATTGTCTTATATAATTTTAGTACAGTGATCATAATCAAAAAAGCATTGATACATTTATCTGTATTCTACATGCAAATTTTGTCAATTTTCCCATTTTTTTTTTCCTGTTCCAGGATCCAGTCCAGAATCTTGCATTGCATTTAACTGTTCAGTTCTTCAGGCTTTGTCTTTCTATGATATGGACTTTTCGAAGTCCTGTTTTGTAGAATGTCCCTCAGTTTGGGTTTATCTGATGTTCCCTCAAGGTTAGATTCAAGGTGGGGATTTTTAAAGACATCGTCCTTAGTGCAGCATATCAGGAGATATGTATGTTCCATTATAGGTAATGCTAAACTTGAAGAACTTGGCTAGGGTGTCATCTGTCAGTTCTCTCCACTGTAAACTTGCTAGTTTTCCCTTTGTAATTGTGAAACTGCTGATTATATCTGATTAAAGTAAATTGTAATATCTGATACTCTTGGTAATTTATGTTTTCCTATGAAATTCATTCATTCATTTATTTGAGATGGGATCTTGCTCTGTTTCCCAGGCTGGTCTCAAGTGATCCTGGGTTCAAGTGATCTTCCTGCCTCAGCCTCCCAAAGCACTGGGATGATGGGTGTAAGCCACCATGCCTGGCCTCCTATAACCTTTAGAATCACTAAATCTTCCAATCTAAGATGATGGTGCGGTATTTTCATTTTTTTTTTCAGGTCCTATTTTATATCCTTTAATGCAATTTCCATTTTCCCCCATATAGGCTTTTTACCTTGTTAAATTTATTCCAAGTTTTTTAAAATGAGTTTTGCTGCCGTTATGATTATTCCATAAATTGTTGAACATCTTGAGGTTTTTTTTTTTTAAGTAAGGTATACAATATGACTTTGATATAAAAATATTGCCTAATTTTATATTTTTTTTCCAGTATTCTACTTATTTGGTCTTTTGATGATATAAAAACTTAGTCATTATATGAAGACATAATGGGTAAACTCTTTATAGTGTTGCCCTTTATAATTTTGCAATTTCATATTTGATTTCTTACAAATGGTTATATTTAGAAATTTTCCTTCTGTTCTATTTTATTTGAAACTATAAACCTGACTAGCTGCAAAAAATGTTATGCCATCTGCTTATATAATCATAATCTTTGTTAATGTAATATAGATTTTTTTGTTCTTCATTATGGTGACTGAGTTACTGATAAATGGGAATGCTACCACATTTGCTCTTCCTGCCTTACAGGAATAGGTGTGTGCTTTTTTGCTATTGGTTTTCAGGTGTAAAAATGGAAACTAACATTGAAATTGACCACATTTCCCTTCACCAGAGTAAGCTGCACATGGAGGGCTTCCGCAGCCTCAAGGAGGGTGAGGCAGTTGAGTTCACCTTTAAGAAGTCTGCCAAGGGCCTGGAATCTATCCGAGTCACTGGACCTGGTGGGGTGTTCTGTATTGGGAGTGAGAGACGGCCAAAGGGGAAGAACATGCAGAAGCGCAGATCAAAAGGAGACAGGTATGCATTGGGAGGCAGCTTCTGTAGGTTGCTAGGGATGTGCTGAGGATGGGGAGAGCCCTCCCAGTCTTGCCACTTTGTTAGGCCAGGTTGCCAAAGGTAAGCGAAGCCTGTGATCCCTGACAACCTCTGGATGTTGAGGTGCCAGCCATAGGTGTGGGCACGGGCAATGTGTGCGGAAGGCACTGGGGATGATTTAGCTCTTCTAATTGGGACAAGTAATTTTGCTCTGTGAGCTCTAGCCTCTTTGTTAGTTGAAGTTAGCGACACTAGGGAGACCTTGGATATGTAAGTGACACGGTAGGATGGTATATCTGTATCTGTTGCTTCTCTACCAGGTCTCCAAATGGCTGGTTTCCTTAATCTTGCTGTTGGGCTTAAAGCCCCTTAGCTCTGAGCAGATAATATAATTTGGCTTCTTTAATTTCTTTTTTATTAAGGATATAGTATTAATAGAATTTCACCTGCCCCCTAAGTTGAAATTCCCACTTGGGGTCTGTGACTTCTATTCTTGGTATCTTAGTCTTTTCAAGTTGATATGAATCTGAAGAGATTATCTGGACAGTTAAATTTGGAAAGTATTTAGAGATCATCTAGTTAAGTGGGGATTCTGGTCTCTGGGAAGGGAAATGAGTTTAGTGACACATCTGGACCAGAGCCCAGGTAGCCCAGGTGTCCTCACTCAAGGGAGGCGTCTGACTTCTTCCTGCTCCTTTCTCTCACCTTTACCATCTTGCTTTGTACTAGGTGCTACAACTGTGGAGGTCTAGACCATCATGCTAAGGAATGCAAGCTGCCACCCCAGCCCAAGAAGTGCCACTTCTGCCAGAGCATCAGCCACATGGTAGCCTCGTGTCCACTGAAGGCCCAGCAGGCCCCTAGCGCGCAGGGAAAGCCAGCCTACTTTCGGGAGGAAGAAGAAGAGATCCACGGCCCTGCCCTGCTCCCAGAGGCCCAGAATTGAGCCACAGTGGATGGGGGCTATTCTTTTGCTATCAGGAAGTTTCAATGAGCAGGCAGAGTGGAGAAAGTGGGGATAAGGGTGTGTTGGGGGCAGTTGGCACTGCCCTGTATCTCAGGCCGGGTTCACGGCATCACCCCTTCTTCCCTCTTGGTGGGGGGAAAGGATGAGGCAAAGGAACCCTACCCCCTACCCATGCTCTATCCAAATGCAAGGGAGGGCTTTAGGGGGAAATCACCCTAGAACCTGAATGCTTTATCTGAGACTCCATCCCCAGAATCTCTAGGTTTTGAAAGTGGCCTGGATAGGAAGTTGTTTTCCTTTTGAAGAAGGATATGTAATAATATGCCCATGCCAGAGTGAAGCGATTAAGTACAAGACCAGATTAATGGACCCCACCCACAAGCCACTACATTCTGTGGGAGGGACTCTCTCAGGAGTAAGGCAGGGTTTTTTCCACATCTTGTATTCGCATACCCATTCTTGAGATAGGGTGCTGGGAACTGTCCCAAGCAATGGGTAGTGATGACAGGCAAAAAGGGTGGTTGCAGGAGAATAGCTACAGACCTGCTGCTCCTAAGCTCACTCTCACCCCATTCTGGGCCAATGTGATTTTATTTATTTGCTCCCTTGGGTAACTGCACCTTGGGTCCCACTTTCTCCAGGATGCCAACTGCACTAGCTGTGTGCGAATGACGTATCTTGT